AGCCACAGACAACACCACAGTAGAGGCCTATGTCCAGAAGCAGAGACGAACCAGATCCAACTCCCTGATGACAGAGACTACACGATTGTTTGCCTTGGCAGATTACTTCAATTGCCAGAAGCGAGACATAATTGTGGGAAACTGAACATACTTGCCGACAGTCTTTCTCGCTGTGGGAAGACCGCCCCCGTGGTCTAGTGGTAGAGCGTCCGCCCGGAGAGCGGAAGGTCTGGTGTTCGATCCCCGTCCGTGTCATACCAAAAGACGTTTAAAGATGGTACTTGTTGTTACCCTGTCTGGGGCTCGGCATTAAGGGGCTAATACAAATACTGGTCGGCTCGGAGTCAGTACACTGTGTCTGAGTGGGGTATTCATGTTAAACTGCGGCATGGTATCTCAGTGAGCTAGCACTATAAATCGGCATCAGTCCGGACTGGTACAAGCAGCCACACACACAAACACACACACGTACATGCATGTCGCTATATAGGTGCAATAATCTTGGACATGACGTTAAACCCAATTTCACCTCACCTCGCTGTGGGAGAATAGTGGCAACAGAATAGACTTTGCATCCATTGATCTTCGCCTGGATAACCACCATGTTATGGGACACACCACGACTGGATCTATTTGCCATTTGTCAGAACAATCAACTTCCGGTTTATGTCAGTCCAACTCCCGACAAACTACCGTATTTTCTTGAGTATAGTGCGCACTTTTTTTCCAAAAAACACAGTTGTGTAGAAGTGGGTGCGCATTTTACACGAATTAATGAGTTTTGATGTTTTTTCCCCATGGAAAGACATTACCGTGAGCACGTAACACCGGAAATACCATGTCAACAAATCCATACTGAAGTATGCAAATTAGTCATGTAATTACACTGTCTGGCTATAAAAAGTGTTCTTTGTATATCTGGAATTATGTTTGTAACTTATTTTAATAATTTTAATCAAAATTTCTTTTAATATTGTTTTAATTAATTTTGGCGAAATCGTGTGTGAAGCGATCGGAAGATCGCACAACTCACCATTATTAACAGCAACCACGGTCAAATTACCGCTATTGACGCCTTGAAACGAACTTTAGTTGAAAGAGAATGGATACATATATCATAAATGCCATACTGTGACTCGTTAAAAGTCATATTTGTTTTTGTTGGACAATTCTATGTCAACACGTAATTCTCGAGATCACGTGCACGAGAGCCTTGACGGTGACTGGTCAGACTGGTTCCATGTAAAAAATAATACCCGGCAATAGCGATCTGCTGCTTCGCTTAGGGTTATTATTATTTTAAATATGTTTAGTAAAAGCTGCAACTAAATTAACAAGATATTGGAATATATTATTCCTGATAAAAAAATAGTTTCAGATACAATTTTTGCCTATCCTTGCAATAAAATCCTGTAAAGTTATATCATTGGGTGTGTCTTGACTGAATCACCGGTAGATTCCAAGAAAACGTGTGTACAGCTGATTGCTGTGTCCGGCTTAGTTGACGAGAAAATACACAAGGTAATCTTAATCCCTGGATATAAAACAATGCCTAGCAGAACAAAAAATACAATTTAAACGGTAAATCAACATGTCTGGTGATTTTTTATCTCAAATTTCGAATTTGTACTGACCAAGTTTCTCATCACCAGTTCGTTTGCCGGACTTCGCTAAAGGGCTATGGTGTAATTTTTTTTATGCACTTGGTATTCAAATTTTTTTCTTCAAAAATATTGAATCCGCTAGAGGGGGGTGCGCATTATACATGGGTGCGCAATATACTCAAGAAAATATGGACAAAGTGATCCACAAGGTGGAAAAGACGGATTGCGTAATATTTCTGATAGCTCCAATATGGCCCAGCAGGGTGTGGTTCCCCAAACTATTAAAACCACTAATGGAGGAACCTATCCAGCTACCACTTCATCGAGATCTGCTCGAAAACGTTAACACGGGGTATTCCGAACGACAGTAAGGCCCGTACAATTGATTCCTTCAAACTTATCGTCCATCTGTTGCGTCCGTGAGATAAACATTTGAACGGAAGAGGAGTTGCACAGTACTTGGGAAGCACTGCCATATAATCTCAACCATATATTAGACATTCCGGAATATTTGTTTGTTCAGTTGTCAAAATATTAATCAAGAACTTGTCAACATATTTTTCAAGCGTTGTCTGGAATGGAATTCGCCGCAAAGTACCAGTGCCATAAAGCTTGAGAAAGCTGCTTTCTAACTGACTAATGGGGATTTCTTGTTAGTCATTTCAGTGGTTGATCAAAGTTTGCAAAAGGTCATTCTGACATGACCTGTAATGGGATGTCCTCAGATCTTTATTTAGCGGCAGCGAGAACTTAGATCTGATTTTAATGAGATTGCTATGCCAACCCAAGTCCAGCATTTTCCATGACAATCTGCCAAGCCTACAGGTAACTGCTTGGAAGTTATCACACAAAAGATGCATCCGGATGCTCTGAGCTTGTCTTTGAAGCTGTTGCAAGATCATGGAGCCCGTCATCCTCCCTTATATATGACAAGAGATGGGACAAGTTTGTCCAGTGGAGAAGATGACAAGGGATTCTAACTAATGCTATATCAATCCCTATGGTAGCAGATTTTCTACTTCATCTATGTCATGACAACAAATTCTGACATGGGACAATAGAAGTTTATAGATCAGCCCTTCATTCTGTTCTTTCAATATGATGGATTATCAATCGGAAACCACTCCATTCTCAACAGACTAATGAGATCCTTTCCACTAGAAGATATTTGAACTCCTCATATCTTCCCCAAGTGAAATCTATCTGTGGTACTAACAACATTGTCAACGGATCCTTACAAGCCCATGGCAAAAGCTAACCTACTTCAAAAAGCCAGAAAAACATTGTTTCTCCTAGCCATGGCAACAGCAGCAAGAGTTTCAGAGTTACATGCCTTAGACTATTCTAGTCTTACCCATGATCAACATTGGACCTCAATTACACTAAGATCGCTCCCAGACTTCGTAGCCAAGAATCAATCTACCACAATGGGACCGTTAGGTCATAGACACTATACAATTCCTGCTTTAGGACCAACAGTTGATCACCCAGACAGACTCATGTCCCATCAGAGCTCTCAAGTTATATCTCTCGGCTACAGACCCACATAGACGCCATCCACGGACACTCTTTCTATCCTGTAAGACCAACTCCAACAAGGATATCACCAAGGCTACTTTAGCAGGTTGGCTAAAAGCTACAGTTGCATCAAGCTATACACAGGTTCAGAATTCTACGCCACGTCTCAGACTCATGAAATCAGAGCCCTAGCCACGAGTCTCTCTTCTTGGACAACAGTCTCAGAAGAACAAGTAATTTCTAGCTGTCAATGGGCCTCACAAAACACCTTCACCAGCTTTTACTTGCGTGACGTAGAGGGCATATATTCCCTTGGTCCAGTTGTCGCGGCACAAACTATCGTCCAATAGTGTTACCCCTTCTATTGAAAAAAAAGGAGGGGGAGTACACCCTTGATTATTCTGTCTATTTGGTGTAGGATGGATAAGAAGCATCTTAATCAACCATCACCATTAGACTGGAAGTGACTTCATTACTGAAAGTGATAACATAACCGGAAATGACGTCAGTACCGGAAATAGGACAGGGTCCTTCTAACCAGGAAATGACAGCTTGGGTAGAAATAGACCTAGAGAGATGTCATTACCAAAAAAGGGAAAGTGCAAGGCCAAAAGTGACATACCAGAAGTGATTTCAGAACCGGAAGTCCTCAGACTTTCAGAGGAAATTATCTCCAGTAGAATTAGAATCAGTACATAATGGTTTCCAGGAGAGGATTACTGTCAATTACAGAGGGAGTTACTAGAGGCAGATCCCATCAGGTCCCTCTGGTATATTCTGGCAATGATGTAATAGAGGTAGAATTTTCGTAAGAATTATCGAAACTAAGTTATTGTTTATAGTTCCAAGAATACTACCTCTATCACATCTGAATTACACCCTCCCAACTCCCCAAATCATCGACCTCTAGTTAGAGAGGAGGGAAAAAAGTGATATTGCTGCCATTATGATGTCATGGCTTGGGTAGTTGCGAGACTACTTGGTGACAACTAATTGTGTGATTGACAGTGAAGAGGACGTCTGTTGAAAATCTGAAAATTTTAGTCAGTGTGTTCGATATTTGCAATATTTTTCATTTTGACCTTGTTTTGGCCATGCTCTTAAATTTTCTCAAGAGGCATAACTGGCTGTGTAAACTTCTCCCCTGAAACTTCTCTTTTTCTTCAACCCTTTATCATGCTAGGATGCTCTTTTTGTGGGTTGAAATTTAAGATTCATTCAACGTATATATTTGGGGAATTGGAAGCAGATATAACAGTAGTTTGAGGTAGTTCACCAAATATTTGCATATGTCCTGGGCATTTTCTTCTGAAACAGACCATTTCAGGTGATTTCGTGAAAAGATGTACCAAATTTTGGTCAAAACAACTAGAATAGAACTTGTTAAAGTTCCATCATCATCAACCAATTTATATGGGAATTTGTGTTAATTTTCCTTAATAATTCAGTAGATCATTAACTATCCAGGGTATTACTTGATGTCAGAACTCACTGATCCCTTGCTTATATTCTGGCATCGATGAAATAGATGTTTTGTATTTGCAATGATTATCAAACAATAGTTATCATTGTTAATAATCCAAAGAATAATACTTTTATCACATCGGGAGTAATCCCACCTGACTTCATGCCTGCGCATACACAGAAGTTTAGGAAGTGAAATGATTTGAATATCTCAACTGGTTATGGGTAGTTGACAGTAAAGAGGACTCTGTGGAAATTTGAAGTTCTAGTGTGATGACAGCAAAATACATGATTTCTGGCAATGACGTAATAGAGGTGGTATTCTGAGATTATTAACGATAATAAATATTATTTTGATGTCATAATCTCACAGTAGGATTATGCCTTAAAAATCGTAAATTGTTTTGAATATAGGCTGTGACTGAACGAGAGAGGCGAAAGTCTGTAGAGAAATATGACAATATGCGTCACAGACGAAGCAGTGAGATCTATATTCGATGGAAGGAGATGAGGAATGCGCTGGAGAGAACAGCCGAAGAAAGCAGTCAGGAGGTGGAGGCCAGTTGGCAGAAACAAGGTGAGTATCTGGAAACACTGTCAATTCAGGAGAAGTGTATCTAGACGCACAGTCCAGTCAGGAGAAGTGTATCTAGACACACAGTCCAGTCAAGAGACGTGTATCTAGATGCACAGTCCAGTCAGGAGACGTGTATCTAGACACACAGTCCAGTCAAGAGACGTGTATCTAGACGCACAGTCCAGTCAGGAGAAGTGTATCTAGACACACAGTCCAGTCAGGAGACGTGTATCTAGACGCACAGTCCAGTCAGGAGACGTGTATCTAGACGCACAGTCCAGTCAGGAGAAGTGTATCTAGACACACAGTCCAGTCAGGAGACGTGTATCTAGACGCACAGTCCAGTCAGGAGACGTGTATCTAGACGCACAGTCCAGTCAGGAGACGTGTATCTAGACGCACAGTCCAGTCAGGAGACGTGTATCTAGACGCACAGTCCAGTCAGGAGAAGTGTATCTAGACGCACAGTCCAGTCAGGAGAAGTGTATCTAGACGCACAGTCCAGTCAGGAGAAGTGTATCTAGACGCACAGTCCAGTCAGGAGACGTGTATCTAGACGCACAGTCCAGTCAGGAGACGTGTATCTAGACACACAGTCCAGTCAGGAGACGTGTATCTAGACGCACAGTCCAGTCAGGAGACGTGTATCTAGACGCACAGTCCAGTCAGGAGAAGTGTATCTAGACGCACAGTCCAGTCAGGAGACGTGTATCTAGACGCACAGTCTAGTCAGGAGACGTGTATCTAGACGCACAGTCCAGTCAGGAGACGTGTATCTAGACACACAGTCCAGTCAAGAGACGTGTATCTAGACGCACAGTCCAGTCAGGAGAAGTGTATCTAGACGCACAGTCCAGTCAGGAGAAGTGTATCTAGACACACAGTCCAGTCAGGAGAAGTGTATCTAGACGCACAGTCCAGTCAGGAGACGTGTATCTAGACGCACAGTCCAGTCAGGAGACGTGTATCTAGACGCACAGTCCAGTCAGGAGACGTGTATCTAGACGCACAGTCCAGTCAGGAGACGTGTATCTAGACGCACAGTCCAGTCAGGAGAAGTGTATCTAGACGCACAGTCCAGTCAGGAGACGTGTATCTAGACACACAGTCCAGTCAGGAGAAGTGTATCTAGACGCACAGTCCAGTCAGGAGACGTGTATCTAGACGCACAGTCCAGTCAGGAGACGTGTATCTAGACGCACAGTCCAGTCAGGAGACGTGTATCTAGACGCACAGTCCAGTCAGGAGAAGTGTATCTAGACACACAGTCCAGTCAGGAGAAGTGTATCTAGACACACAGTCCAGTCAGGAGAAGTGTATCTAGACACACAGTCCAGTCAGGAGACGTGTATCTAGACGCACAGTCCAGTCAGGAGACGTGTATCTAGACACACGGTCCAGTCAGGAGACGTGTATCTAGACGCACAGTCCAGTCAGGAGAAGTGTATCTAGACGCACAGTCCAGTCAGGAGAAGTGTATCTAGACCCACAGTCCAGTCAGGAGAAGTGTATCTAGACGCACAGTCCAGTCAGGAGAAGTGTATCTAGACGCACAGTCCAGTCAGGAGAAATGTATCTAGACGCACAGTCCAGTCAGGAGAAGTGTATCTAGACACACAGTCCAGTCAGGAGAAGTGTATCTAGACATACAGTCCAGTCAAGATATGTGTATCTAGACACACAGTCCAGTCAGGAGAAGTGTATCTAGACACACAGTCCAGTCAGGAGAATTGTATCTAGACGCACAGTCCAGTCAGGAGAAGTGTATCTAGACACACAGTCCAGTCAAGAGATGTGTATCTAGACACACAGTCCAGTCAGGAGAAGTGTATCTAGACGCACAGTCCAGTCAGGAGAAGTGTATCTAGATACACAGTCCAGTCAGGAGAAGTGTATCTAGACGCACAGTCCAGTCAGGAAAAGTGTATCTAGACACACAGTCCAGTCAGGAGAAGTGTATCTAGACACACAGTCCAGTCAAGAGATGTGTATCTAGACACAGTCCAGTCAGGAGAAGTGTATCTAGACACACAGACCAGTCAGGAGAAGTGTATCTAGATACACAGTCCAGTCAGGAGAAGTGTATCTAGACGCACAGTCCAGTCAGGAGAAGTGTATCTAGACACACAGTCCAGTCAAGAGACGTTTATCTAGACGCACAGTCCAGTCAGGAGAAGTGTATCTAGATGCACAGTCCAGTCAGGAGAAGTGTATCTAGACACACAGTCCAGTCAGGAGAAGTGTATCTAGTCACACAATCCAGTCAAGAGATGTGTATCTAGATGCACAGTCCAGTCAGGAGAAGTGTATCTAGACGCACAGTCTAGTCAAGAGATGTGTATCTAGACACACAGTCCAGTCAGGAGATGTGTATCTAGACACACAGTCCAGTCAGGAGATGTGTATCTAGACACACAGTCCAGTCAGGAGACGTGTATCTAGTCACACAATCCAGTCAAGAGATGTGTATCTAGATGCACAGTCCAGTCAGGAGAAGTGTATCTAGACGCACAGTCTAGTCAGGAGAAGTGTATCTAGTCACACAATCCAGTCAAGAGATGTGTATCTAGATGCACAGTCCAGTCAGGAGATGTGTATCTAGACACACAGTCCAGTCAGGAGAAGTGTATCTAGTCACACGATCCAGTCAAGAGATGTGTATCTAGATGCACAGTCCAGTCAGGAGAAGTGTATCTAGACGCACAGTCTAGTCAAGAGATGTGTATCTAGATGCACAGTCCAGTCAGGAGAAGTGTATCTAGACGCACAGTCTAGTCAAGAGATGTGTATCTAGACACACAGTCCAGTCAGGAGACGTGTATCTAGACGCACAGTCCAGTCAGGAGAAGTGTATCTAGACGCACAGTCTAGTCAAGAGATGTGTATCTAGATGCACAGTCCAGTCAGGAGAAGTGTATCTAGACGCACAGTCTAGTCAAGAGATGTGTATCTAGACACACAGTCCAGTCAGGAGACGTGTATCTAGACGCACAGTCCAGTCAGGAGATGTGTATCTAGACACACAGTCCAGTCAGGAGAAGTGTATCTAGATGCACAGTCCAGTCAGGAGAAGTGTATCTAGACGCACAGTCCAGTCAGGAGAAGTGTATCTAGACACACAGTCCAGTCAGGAGAAGTGTATCTAGACACACAGTCCAGTCAGGAGAAGTGTATCTAGACACACAGTCCAGTCAAGAGATGTGTATCTAGACACACAGTCCAGTCAGGAGAAGTGTATCTAGACACACAGTCCAGTCAGGAGAAGTGTATCTAGATGCACAGTCCAGTCAGGAGAAGTGTATCTAGACACACAGTCCAGTCAGGAGACGTGTATCTAGACGCACAGTCCAGTCAGGAGACGTGTATCTAGACACACAGTCCAGTCAGGAGAAGTGTATCTAGACGCACAGTCCAGTCAGGAGAAGTGTATCTAGATGCACAGTCCAGTCAGGAGAAATGTATCTAGACACACAGTCCAGTCAGGAGAATTGTATCTAGACACACAGTCCAGTCAGGAGAAGTGTATCTAGACGCACAGTCCAGTCAGGAGAAGTGTATCTAGATGCACAGTCCAGTCAGGAGACGTGTATCTAGACACACAGTCCAGTCAAGATATGTGAATCTAGACACACAGTCCAGTCAGGAGAAGTGTATCTAGATGCACAGTCCAGTCAGGAGAAGTGTATCTAGACACACAGTCCAGTCAGGAGAAGTGTATCTAGATGCACAGTCCAGTCAGGAGAAGTGTATCTAGACACACAGTCCAGTCAGGAGACGTGTATCTAGACGCACAGTCCAGTCAGGAGACGTGTATCTAGACACACAGTCCAGTCAGGAGAAGTGTATCTAGACGCACAGTCCAGTCAGGAGAAGTGTATCTAGATGCACAGTCCAGTCAGGAGAAATGTATCTAGACACACAGTCCAGTCAGGAGAATTGTATCTAGACACACAGTCCAGTCAGGAGAAGTGTATCTAGACGCACAGTCCAGTCAGGAGAAGTGTATCTAGATGCACAGTCCAGTCAGGAGACGTGTATCTAGACGCACAGTCCAGTCAGGAGACGTGTATCTAGACACACAGTCCAGTCAGGAGATGTGTATATAGACGCACAGTCCAGTCAGGAGAAGTGTATCTAGACACACAGTCCAGTCAGGAGAAGTGTATCTAGACACACAGTCCAGTCAGGAGAAGTGTATCTAGACACACAGTCCAGTCAGGAGACGTGTATCTAGACGCACAGTCCAGTCAGGAGACGTGTATCTAGACACACGGTCCAGTCAGGAGACGTGTATCTAGACGCACAGTCCAGTCAGGAGAAGTGTATCTAGACGCACAGTCCAGTCAGGAGAAGTGTATCTAGACCCACAGTCCAGTCAGGAGAAGTGTATCTAGACGCACAGTCCAGTCAGGAGAAGTGTATCTAGACGCACAGTCCAGTCAGGAGAAATGTATCTAGACGCACAGTCCAGTCAGGAGAAGTGTATCTAGACACACAGTCCAGTCAGGAGAAGTGTATCTAGACATACAGTCCAGTCAAGATATGTGTATCTAGACACACAGTCCAGTCAGGAGAAGTGTATCTAGACACACAGTCCAGTCAGGAGAATTGTATCTAGACGCACAGTCCAGTCAGGAGAAGTGTATCTAGACACACAGTCCAGTCAAGAGATGTGTATCTAGACACACAGTCCAGTCAGGAGAAGTGTATCTAGACGCACAGTCCAGTCAGGAGAAGTGTATCTAGATACACAGTCCAGTCAGGAGAAGTGTATCTAGACGCACAGTCCAGTCAGGAAAAGTGTATCTAGACACACAGTCCAGTCAGGAGAAGTGTATCTAGACACACAGTCCAGTCAAGAGATGTGTATCTAGACACAGTCCAGTCAGGAGAAGTGTATCTAGACACACAGACCAGTCAGGAGAAGTGTATCTAGATACACAGTCCAGTCAGGAGAAGTGTATCTAGACGCACAGTCCAGTCAGGAGAAGTGTATCTAG